CCCCGTGGCGTTAGTTGAATTGCCTTTCCATTGATGTTGGATGGGCTGATTCATCAACAACACCGACAGATGACAGTGGAGGAATAACGTCAAATGGTGTGCGAAGCTTTCTCTGCAGCAAAGCTCCTGCATGGGAGACACCGTTTTGAGTGCTAGGGTTTGGGGTGGCTCGATAGTTCAGCAGGAGTAGTTCGAGAACTTCCTCTGTCGTCTCCCCCCTTTGACTTCTGGAGAGCTCGCTTGAAGTCGACGAATCGCTCAACCTGGCCGTTTGAGTGCAAGTGATATGGTGGCGAATGCACGTGAGTAAGGGCCGACTAATAGCAAAATTGGGCGAAAGCGGCTGATGTTAACTGCCCTCCGTTATCGCTCACCAAGATTTCGGGGCAACCGGACCTGTTAAACAGTCATCGAAGAGTGTTTATCATCACTCCGGCAGTCGTGCGTTCCATGAGGATGACTTCTGGCCATAAGTTATATGCATCAAAGGCGATGTGGAAGTTCTGGCCATTCAGCGGTCCAACACAATTGACTTGGACCCGGGACCGAGGAACTTTTAGAACAGGCCTTACCTTGAGTGTGGTCTTTGCTGGCGCCTTTGATGCAAGAGCGCATTAGGTGCAAAAGCGGGGCAATTGTGCAGTTGATTTTCGATGTGAGGCCAGTACACATAACTGCGATCGAGAGGCTTCATGCGGTTGATGCCCGGGTGCCCGGTGTGGGATTGTCTCAAGACTGTGGCTTGTAGCTTTTGTGGAACAACGACACGATCGTAGAACAGAATACAATTGTTAATGGTAGATGGATAATTTCTTCGTTGGTGGAACTGCTGCAATTCTCCAGAAATTTTCGCGGGCCACCGACTGCGATCGTATTTGATGACATGTCCCAACAGTGGGTTGCATTTCGGATTTCCTCAAACATGACAGAGAGTGCAGGAATGGAATCCATAAATAGACAGTTGACCTTGGACTCAACGGAATAAGACGTGATGACTGCGTCTTCAGCCCCCTTAGTCCTTTAGTTGATTAAGCGCGAGGGTGCGTCTGCCTGACCGATGGTTGTTGTACACTGGTACCGGATGTCGAAGTCGTAGCCCAGCAGCATGGTTGCTCAGCGCTGAAGTCAATTTGACGAGTACACAGGAATGCCTTTTTTCTAGCCAAAAATAGCAAGAAGAGGCTTGTGGTCCGTAAAAGTGTGAAATGACGCCCATAAAGTATCTTATAAAACTTCTTCACGGCAAAGATGATAGCCAAGGCTTCCTTTTCGATCTGTCCGTAGTTGCGTTCAGCAGACTTTAGTGATCTTGCTGCATGACAGATAGCATTCTCTGTGTTTTTGGGAAAAAAATGTGAAATCACGGCGCCAATTCCATAGTTGGAGTTGTCCGCAGCCACGACAATCTTCAGATCAGTGTTGAAGTGCGTGAGCAGCAATTCAGAGCTCAAAATTGGTTTCACTCCTCCAAAAGCTTGTTGACACTCTCGCGACCACGACCACTTGGCATCTTTCTTGAGTAGTTCACTCATCAGACGACGAAGGCGGTGTATTTCCGGGAGGAACGAGCTGTAGTGACTCATGAGACCCAAGAAGGCGCATAAGAATTTACGTCCTTTGGTGGTGGCATCTGTTTGATGGCGTCGATGTTGTCTGGATCTGGGCGATGACCGTCTTGGTCGATTTTGAACCCGATATATATTCCACAGAAGGCATAAAAAATAGCACTTCTCCAGACATAGACGGAAACCATAGTCTTGAATCCGGCTAAGTACCGTCTCTAGGCGTTGCAACAGTTTATCTGGATTTAAATCAGTTACGATGATATCATTCAGATAGGCAGGGACTCCTTCGGTGCCCGTCAGCATGGTGTCCATGGTGTGCTGGAAGATCACTGCAGCAGTCTTAACCCCGAATGACAGACGGGTGTACTGGAACAGACCACGAAGGCTGTTAATGGTTGAAAGCTCTCGGGAGTCTCCGTCCACCTCGATCTGGAGGTATGCATCGGATAGATCCAGCTTAGTGGAACAAGTTCCGCCATTCAGCTTAGCAAAAGGATCTTCAGACATGGGCAAAGGATACTGATGTGTTTCTAGGATAGCATTGAAACCAGTGGAAAAATCAGCACAGATTCGGACTTTACTTGTAGCTTTCTTGACAGCTACGATTGGTGCGGCTCATGCAGAGTAATTGACTGGCTGAAGAACACCATCTTGGTAAAGATGGTCACGTTCTTGGTCGACCACTGTGAGTGCAGCATAAGGAACTGGTCTTTTTGGTCTGAAGGCAGGTTTTGTATTCGGTTGAAGACGAATACCAATACCGTCTTGAAAAGCAGGAGCAAACTTCGCCTGTATGGTCGACGTCAGATTTGTCACCAGCTGATTCGATTTGGCGGGACTCGGCCAAGTTGACTGCACACCATTGAAAATGCGGTTGAGGGGCAAATCCAGGAGACCATGTTTATCTATCCAGTAAATGCTAATTAGGCCAAGCCTTGGACGGTCGGTAATATAGCATGTTCTCTTTAATTGAGTACCCTCAAAGGAAATTTCACATTCAAGCTCACTTGTGAGCCGCAGAAATCCGCCAGAAACATTCATAGCCTTTTTGTCCGACGTGATCATCGGAGGCCGTCCATTCATGCGCCAAGTGCGCTTGGAGATGAGACTGATGTCTGAGGCTGTGTCAAGCTGGAG